CTTGCACTGACTTCACAAATCCAATTAACATATTATTTACTGGTATTTTTCTAGTCTTGTTAATATTCTGTAAATATATGAAATTAAATAACTTTCTTGCTTTCTAGAATTATTGAGTCTTGTCAGGAAGCATTCATACTACGCCTCTATCGTCAGAAGAACAAGACCGGGTTCATAAAAGCGTTCTCCGACCAGCCACAGTGCTTCGCATCAGGTTTCTGTAAATTAGAACGTGTCATGAAAAACCTGTTTGTTCGCAAACTTTATCTTTGGCCCAGGTAAATCAATTAAACTTGTCTTTGACACAGATAAATCAATCATACTATATTTTGGAGTCAATACTGAATTTGTAAATTTTACTTATATTCTGAGGAAACGTTGTAATATTTTTTGATTTGATAGATTCCATGTGGATGTAAAAGCCTGTATGGACAAACATAAGGTGAGTATAGTTTATGAACACTGCATTATAAGTAATATGTGTTTACATTACACAAACATTATCTGCATTCACTCGTCTGTATTCTCAGCAGAAAGCACTGTGATGATATTATATTATATTTTCAACATCTTTGTTAGCAAGAATGTTTTGGTTTTGTATACTGTAAAATACTTTATTTTCGCTCGAAATTAATTTTCGCTATTTCTGCTGAAGAAATGATTCAGTAAAAATATATTCCAGGGAGTATACCTTTTTTCCTATATTTTACATTCAACTCATCAAAAATCAGTGAAAATAAATTCCATACAAAACACCCGAAAAGTATTTTCAGCGAAAAATATTTCCAGCTAATATAAAGTATTTTACAGTACCGGTAGTCCAGTTCTTAACACCTTTCCGTAGTTTGCTTTTGAGATGTTTGACTTTTAGAGATTGAAGATTGTACCTTGTCTTCTGACGACATCTTTTTTTAGTAACAATCATATTTTGAACATAACTGTGAATGTTGCCAAAATTTGACACTGAGGTCAAAGGTTAAAATTTGATCAGTAATTTCTTTCGACATCTTTTATGGAAACTAACAGATTTTAAAGAGAAGTATTTTTGGAAAATTGCTTGAATTAAAAAATGATATTTGCTTTATAATTTGAGAGAGTGCATACTAGATTATGTAGTGTTCTTATTTTACTATTCCAGCCTGAAGTGATAGAGTTAGGAATTCCGATGACAGGGAGCATGAAATCAATTCAGTCATCCATCTTGGATATTATGAATGCAGTCGTTAAAGAGATTAAACAATGTAACCCCAGTGTAAGTATTAATACTGAAATAATGTTATAAATTTTTATAATGCACATTTAAAATATGTAAATACCACATTTTACATAAATGAATTTTGTAAATGCCACACTTTAGACTTTAACCAATAGTAGAGTTTGAACAAAGCTTTTGTGAATTCTGGGGAAGAGATTGGTGGCAAATACATGTACTAGTATTACAGTTGTACTTCCAATGTCACAGGGTGTGCATTTAATTGTTAACAAAGATAAATGTCATTGTAGTGGTACTTAATTACCTAATAACAATAAAAGAAATGTTCTTTTTCTAAATATGCAATGACAATATTACTACCTGTACTTACTACTTACTTGCATAAGTATTTTATCACATAAACCACATTTTATAACTTTTAGGGGTGTATGGTAATTTCTTTATCACAGTGCCATTGTAATGCCACTCAGATATCACTTATACTTGACCTTACAATTTAGTTCTGACCAATGTACTTATATCAGAAAATCTGACTATATATGAGTGACATATTTTTTAAATTTTACTAATATTTTATATTTTTGGATAAAATTAGACATGCTATATTATTGTTAACAGACTTATGTAAGTCTACATAACCATATTTGAAAACAAATACTTGACTGGTTGTATTTGACTATATATTGCATATTTAAGCTTTCAGAACATATATTACTTTACTGCTAATTAAGTACTGAAAGAAGATTCAGTATGAACAATATCTTGGTTTAAAATTATCTGACAAATGTAATTAGCATGATATTAAATAAAAAATAAAGTTGGTTGTATTTGACATTCAATTAACTTCTAGCATTATACGATGTCTGTGAATTTCACGCAAAACTTTGTTTTTTTAATTTTGTAGATGAAGATTCAGTATGAACAATATCTTGGTTTAAAATTATCTGACAAATGTAATTAGCATGATATTAAATAAAAAATAAAGTTGGTTGTATTTGACATTCAATTAACTTCTAGCATTATACGATGTCTGTGAATTTCACGCAAAACTTTGTTTTTTTAATTTTGTAGATGAAGATTCAGTATGAACAATATCTTGGTTTAAAATTATCTGACAAATGTAATTAGCATGATATTAAATAAAAAATAAAGTTGGTTGTATTTGACATTCAATTAACTTCTAGCATTATATGATGTATGTGAATTACACGCAAAACTTTGTTTTTTTAATTTTGTAGATGGATATAGATGATCTAACTGTGGAGAACTCACTGGCAAAGCAATCATTGGAGCAAATAATCCGCTTACAATTAGACCCTGTATGGTATCAGTTGGTAAGTGACATCATTTCCTGTTTAAGTCACCTGCATTCTGATTGGATATATCTTTTGCAAATAACATGTACTGTGATTGAATAAATCTTTACCCAATACTCTTTGATGAGTCTTACATCTTTTATTCTCAGCTGTTGTCTTTCTAAAATAAATGGCTTCAGTTTAGCTATCCAAAGATAAACTGTTAAAAACATTGTTTTTATGTTCAAATTTTCAGGGCTCTAAAACAAAACAGCTTGTGTCAGATCTGAAGTTATTGAGAGCATTGTTATTGTAAGAATTTTAATATTTTATTATTTATTTAGTTTTGTAGTGGTGCATGTATTATATAGAGTCATTTATTGCTACAATAAATATATATACAAAAAATACTCAAAACAAACATTCACAATAAGTCAAATTTGCAACAACTGATTTTGACCTTTCAAACAAATACCAAGAAGATACCAACTGTTACATTCTATATTCTGTACTTGAAAGTTGATGTTGAATATATTATATCAATGTCATGAGTAAATTGTTGTGATTAATGTACAATTTGTATATTGTGAACAATTAGAATCTCAGCATTTTGTGTAATAAGATACAATACTATTAAAAAAAAATTTTGTTGTGTTGTTGTTTTGTTTTGTATTACAATTTATACCAGTGACAATAATAAGATTGTTTACTAATTATGTTTTGTTTTCAGTTACCTAACTCAGTATGATTGTGTCACATTTTATAAGTTCCTACAAACCTTAAGGTGAGACGTCTTTAATAATACATTAATAAAGCTTCTTTATTATACTTACTACATTATACAAACGTTGGTGGACATACAGTTTTAGCAACCCGAAGAGCCATTGTCATGCCTCTGCAAAGTTCATGTCTCGCAGATTCTTTAGAGTGACGAACTGCACAACCGCAGATCGAATGCTGGCGTAACTCACGGCAAGCATAATTAAATATCATGCAAAATCGTTACAAAATCATAATTTATATAAAAATAATAAGTAATAAGATAGTGAAATAGTTAAAACAAACATGGCAAACTATAATTATTTCATGAATATAGCTGTGTATCCTGTTCCCTTGACAAGTTAATGGTGCAAATCAGGTAAATTTGAGAGGAATTAAGGTACCCAAATGAAGGTAGCAGCAGTTAGACACAGGAATATGTAATGTGGGAATCTTATTGGCTGTCATGGTCACGAGGTATAATAATATATAGCAGCATAAACAATAAAATTTGCCGTTTCATGAAAAGCCACTAAACATATCAGCACCTGTTTGAATATTAATATAATAAATTTTTCTTATATTGCATAAACTTTGTCAACAACATTGATATGGTCAAGGTTGTTGACGTCACATTTGAATGTTTTTCTTTCTTCACATTAGACGTGAATCGCTTAAAGTGCACAGCAGAAAAAGCGTCCCATCACTGAAAGCAAAACATTTTTTTTGTTATTTGGGGCTATAATCTCTCATTAAATTATTACTTCAATCAAGAAAACGATGTGTAATAATAAGATTATTATAAGCATACTGCAAAGTAAGCACTTAGGCAGTACAGGTTTGCATTGACGTCCGTTACACTTTTATGTGAATGTTGTACTGCCCTTGTGCATAACTTATATTTGTGTATGTGCTTAAATGACCAATGTATGTCTATGGTTAAAATAATCTAGTAATTAATAATTTAATTAATAATTAATTAATCTAGCATACAATGAATGCAATGTTTGTTTCATGTGCACTTATATAGTGCAAATACACAGCAGTGTAACTATCACCAACTCAAATCACTGTCTTGTAATGTGTGTTGTTTTTTTTAGGTCGAGTGAAACAAGATTGATTCACAATTCTGGTTGGTTGTTTCTTGAATCAGCGGATTCAATGTTTTCAGTGAGTATGTTCTATTTCTGTACTGTGTCAGTCCAAATTATGTGAATCAGAATAGCATGCAGTGGAATTGCTGTATATAGTTGTACTGCACTCTCTGGTCACTATAGGGAGGGGATCTTTATATACAGGTTACTTTACATGTAAATTGCATTGGGACTACACAAAGGTGATCAATATGTGCAGGTAGTTTTTATACAGGTCACTTTACATGTAAATTGCATTGGGAATCCACTCTCTGGTCACATTAGACAGGTGGTCTTTATACAAAGGTTACTTTACTTGTGAATTGCATTGGGACTCTCAAAAGTGGTCAGGTGGTCACTAACACAGGTTTGACAGTAGGAAGTAAACATTCCTTATGGTCTTTTTCTGTGTATCTCAAGTGTTGTGATCATTGACAAACAAACATTTTAAAATATTTTACCCATATTTTCACAAACTTGTCACTATCCTTTAGGCGCCCAAAAAATCCGTTTTCATGGAAACAACTACCCTATTAGCCTGACATGTTGGTGTCAGTGGCGCCCTCTCAGGCCAAACGGTTTCAGACCCAACTGACGCCTGACAGAATAGTGTATGTCTCGTCGGCAAATCAATACTGCGAATTTGCAAAGTTCACACTTTCTGCAATGAGTTTCAATGAATATTTATTTTCAGTGGTCATGGTAACACCGGCAATCAAAGCCATGTTTGCATTTTCTGCAAAAATCAGACTTTTTTTAACAAGATGATTTGGCGAAAATTTGCCAGCACCTTATCACACATTATGTCAAGAAACAAATAAACTCTGCCGTGAATGGTCACTAGCTCTTTTATGGCTGTCACTATCTGACGTTCCTGCAATTTGATTGGTAAGGGAAGGGGAAGTGAAAAACTACATCGTTCTGTCAGGCGTGTGTTGGCTTTGGAGCACCACAGAGGGCGCAAATCACACGACCTTGTCAGGCTTCTACCCTATAATAACTTATTGATCAGAACTGAAATCTAATAAATTTTCTAATAATTGTTTATTTTCAAAATCTCTGAAGAAAGTTGTATAAAAGTCATAATATTGTGAAATCATTTATAAACAGTGTGTATTATTGTTTCTGTAACCAGCATGCCAAGGACAGAGTTTATGGATCTTCCAAAAAAACAAAGAATAAAAAAAATGATGCTTCAACTGAAGTTCAAGGTAAAATATCTTTCATCTGCCATCGTAGATTGTATTAATTTGTACTACTTTACCTCAAATTTAGAAGTTGAATTGTTTTGCCAATGAATGAAATATTCATAAAATTTTGGGTGCACAAAATAATATTTAATGGAATAGTTTTCTTTGGAAATTATTTACTGGCAATTCAACATACCAGTACCTGTATAATCATTGATGTTTTCTTCAGACGTATCTTTAGAAGAAAGTCCAAAATGGAAGACATTGTCAGAAATTCTTGAAGAAATAGAGACAGAAAATAAGGAAGATTCTGCAGGTCAGTTAACATGCAACTATACCAGGTTCTATACATTGAAGTCATAATATGGTCAATAAGCTAATATCTTATCTTATGGTACAGCATATTAAATAAATCCTAGATCTATATCAGTATCTGCTCCCACAGTCCAGATTTATGACAACAGATCTAGACAATCCCAGCCCAGCCCAGATTTATGGCAACAACCCAGATCTAGACAATCCCAGTCCAATCCAGATTTATGACCACAACCCAGATCTAGACAACCCCAGTCTAGCCCAGATTTATGACAACAACTCAGATCTACACTAGATGTATTGATCCAGTGTAGATCTACACAATTCCAATCCAGACAAGAAATATTGCTCCAGTCCAGATCAACATGATCCCAGTTCTCCCAGAGATATTGCTCCAGTACAGATCAACACAATCCCAGGCCAGTCCAGTCCAGACCATATATATTTTACCAGTCCAATTCTACACAATTCCAGTTCGTTCCAGTTCAGTCCAGTCCAGTCCAGATATATTTCTCAAGTCCAAATCTACTCAATACCAGTCAAGTCCAGTTCAGTCCAGACGAGATATATTACTCCAGTCCAGATAATCGTAATTCTAGTTCACCCCATATCTATTTCCCAAGCCCAGATCAACAAACTCATAGTCCAGACCAGACATATTGCTCTAGTCCAAATCAACACAATTCCAGTCCAGTTATATTGCTTGAGTCCAGACCAATCCAGACTAGATATATTGCTGTAGTCCATATCTACACTATTCCAGTCCAGACCAGATATATTGCTGTAGTCTATATCTACACTATTCCAGTCCAGACCAGATATATTGCTCCTGCCCAGATCTACACAATCCTGGTTCATCCTATATCTATTGCTTTAGCTCTGATCTCAACAATTTCAATCCATACCAGATTTATTGCTCGGCTCTAGATCTATAATTACTTCAGTCAAGATTACACAATCTTAGTTTAACTGTCAAGCTTGCCCAAATTGCTCACATGGTTTGGTAGACATTTAAGATTTCATCAAAACCAAAAGTCCTGTATTGTTTGTATTTCCAAAAACCTGCAAGAACTGCATTTCATTGTTAAGGTAGTTAGAATGAGATCTTAGTAACACAGACTTATAGACACCCAAGTTCAAGATTATGTGCCATATATCATATTCTAATGTCAGCCTTTAAACTTAGACCAAACAAAAGCTGCAGCTGTAATATTGTTTTTTTTATTGTTCAAGGGTTGGGTATTGGTAGAGTAATGATTGTGGCGCATGATGACAGGACATGTTGTCAACTGAGAGATTACCTCAAAGATGGTGCTAAACCAGTATTGATGGACTTATGTCAGAGAGCATTACACAGTGAAGAGCACATGGCACAGAAGGTGAACTCTCTTACATTATTTCTTATTCCTGATTTATATGCTCAGTTTTCACTGTGATAACTTATTAGTCTAGACATATAGGGACATGTGATCATTAACGAAGTTTGAAAAAGAAATAAGGGTTACATCAACATTCTAACTCCGCATGTATGATAACAGAGATGTTGAATTCTTTGAGTTATGGGCATCGAGTTACAAAAATATTGAGTTCCAAAATGACCACACCCACTTTTGCGAAACAACGCCCAAATTATAACTGGATGTTCAATTTCCAGTAACAGAAAATCGAGTTATTGGCAATATACATTTTTTTTTTATTGTTGAATGATTTTTGTAACTTGATGTAGTAATTTGATGTTCGTAACTCAATGTCCGTAACTTGAACAATTCAGCGTCTCTTACACAAGGTAAAATAAAGATCACTGTTGGAATCACACAATGTTAACTCATACAGTCGAAAATAGCATGGAATTCATATTTTCATATGAGTTGTACTTCACATCAGTAATGTTTTTATTGCAGTTACAATAGATACTGAAAAGCATGTTCATTGCTTTTATCTTGTATGTCTTGAGATTAATTTAATATACTAGTTATCAATACAGTACAGTATTGTCTTTGTGTTTTGTAATTTACCGCCATTTCTCATTTGAGTTGCATGCTTTTCTAATATGACCTGCTTCATAAGAATTATTGTGAAAGGCATCAACCATGCAGACAATCATGTAATGTGTGGTGTGTGTGTGTGCATGACAGGCATTCCCACACATAGCATTTACAAGAAACTATAACATAACATTAGGCTGATTTGTGGGGATCCTTGCATCAAAATGGAATCTTCAAAATCTAGTTGAGTGAGATTTTTGACTGCTGGGGAGGGAAGTGTTCAAGAAAGAAATTAAAATGTATGTGACTCTAAAGATAGCTTGGAGCACAAATAAAAATGTGTTTTCTTTGTTTTTATACTTATTTTATTTATAAAGTGTGAATTTCATTTCACTAAATTACAAATTCCATAACTACCATATGATACATGATAGATGTTTTTTCAAGATTACTATGGCAGTGTACAATTTTAAGTTGCATCAATGACATGCTAGTGAATTTCTGCAACTGATTGCATCACAGCAAATCTTTTTGGCTCATTGGCATGTCATATTGGCTTAAAGTAGCACTACTACACATTTTTAAGAACAGTATGTATAATGGTCATGCTGTTTTGTCCTTGGTTGTATTTTATTAATATGTTTTGATTTCAAAGGAACCCAAAAGATGGGAGAAAGGTGCAATGAGTAGGAGGAAAAGAAAAATTGAAGAAACTGAAAAAGATGACCATGATGTCATCACATTGACGCAGATTGTCAAGCGATACGAGTCACATGACAAGGTAAGACTATTCTGAATCAATCAAATTAAGATCTAGTCTGGTTACTTGAAATTTCAGATGATATTGTACAATATATTCTTGATTCAAGGTGAAATAATTATGTGCATAGTTTGCTCTTTTAAATATGTTAATGATGATATCTTTCACATCATTTTAGAGTTTTGAAGATGAGAATAAAAAGTTTGATCCTCAGCCATCTTTATCATCAGAATCATGTTTCACTGTTGTATCATCCTCCGTTACTGTAATACACCCCTTACAGGGACACAAGTAAGTCAATAATCAAACTTTATCTGGGAGTACACCACATAATTTGATTTGTATCAATTCTGTCCAAACTTTAAACCAACGCTGAGGTCAGAATATGTTTACTTATTGGATACTATTCTATTCTATTCTATTCTATTCTATTCTATTCTATTCTATTCTATTCTATTCTATTCTATTCTCTATTCTATTTTATTCTCTATTCTATTCTCTATTCTATTTTATTCTATTCTATCCTATTCTATCTATTCTATTCTATTCTACTCTTATTTTATTTTATTTTATTTTATTTTATTTTATTTTATTTTATTTTATTTTATTTTATTTTATTCTATTCT